CCACTAGCCCTTATTGTTCATTTCTGACCGTTGATCTTCGTAATCGAGGGTGAAAAATGAATAATCCAGGGTGGTGGGATCAGACCCTAAGTATAGCCATCGGTGATCTTGTGATGGGACCTGGGGATGTGGTACGACTGCCAGCAATGGCAGCAAAGAGGATTGGATTTAATTCCTGAATCTGTATGTGTTTTATGCAGAGATGCAGAAATGCATATTTTCTTCACCTCTCCCCATACATGTCCAGATTCGGGCGTTCGATCCAATCCCTCTTTGCTATTGGGACGTCGCCCCTGGGGCCATGTCCGACTTTACCGGATTCTTCGTTACTGGCCGTTCATCTTCATTCTCTTTTTTTTTTTCCCCCTCCGAAAACATACTTACCCTGGCCGTTGATCTCCTTAATGTAAGGTCGAAAATCGAAATTCAGCGCACTGAGCGCAGACGAAAAGTGGATTTTTTAAAACTGCTCTCCTTTCTATTTGTTCGTAAAAAAAGAAAAAGAAAAAAAAGGTCATGTACCAGACGGCTGAGAGGCTGATAAAACTGAAGCTGGGGTTTGATGGCACTCGCTGTTTTTATAATGGAATCCTCGATTGTTTTTTTCTGAGACGATTCCCGGCCTCGATTGTTTTTTGGTTTTTTTTTTTTGTAGTTTTTTTTTTTTTTGTAGTTTTTTTTTGAGACGATTCCCGGCCTCGATTGTTTCTTTTTTGGAGACGATTCCTCGAAAAACCAATTCTGATAAAGCATTCCATTTCATTCTCTTTTATCATTTTTGGAGTAATTTGTGCAAATGCCAAAAAGGGAGAATTTATGAATTTCATATCACAGAAAAAGTCCTTCTAGGCTATCTAAAATTACCTTGCAATCAAACATCTACTGATTAAAAAAAAAAAAAAAAAAAAAAAAAAAAAAAAAAAAAAAAAAAAACATCTACTGAAGAAACCACCTTCATTGACCTAACTTCATTTAAGGACTGTCGTTAAAATCGGAGCGCTAGAAAGTAGGGTCATGATGACCCTGACTCTATCGACCAAAAAAAAAAATAAAAAAATAAAGGAGACAATCATGACCATTCCGTAACGATGGCGATGACACGTCAAGCAATTATGAATAAAAATATTTGATTCAACAGACGATGGGAAAAGGAAAAAGACAAAAATCCCCAAACTGCTGTAACGACCAAAACCGAAAAAAAAAAAAAAAAAAAAAAACAGGACGAGGCCCACGGCGGA